AAGAAAAAGATGAACAACCGAAGAACAAAAATGGCAACGACAATTTCAAAACTATATTGAAGCAGACGATCCCTTAACAGACAAAGGTATCTGAGTGCCTCACATGAAAGGCTTGAACAAATAAATCTACAATTTAAGAAACATAGAAGTAAAGGAACTGATTAATTAAACGGTTTATTTCATTCGGGAAATAATTTTGTCTAAATGCAGATAAATATTTTATTTGCATAGATTATTAAAACTACTAAGAGAAGTAATCACTTATAAATTTATTAACATAAGTTAACTCCTTTCTCACTACAGATGGGATAAAAATATGTAATTAAAAACACATTGATAATTATTATATTCTGTCACGGTCTTAATAATGTTCGATTTTAGAATCGATATTTTTTTATTCTTGAATTAATGTATTTATAGACAGTGTTTAAATAAGTCAAAGTAGAAAACCTGAATATCTATACATTTCCACCATCAAGTTACAAGTTTGTTTATTTATTTACGATAAAACTCTAAAGGTTTGAACACTATGAAATCTTTGAATGTACTTTTTGCATCTTCTCTGCGGCGGAATTGGTAATTAGTAGGCGAGAAATTAGAGGAATATGATGAATGTGGCATAGTCTTTTATCCCAAGTCGATGAGCTTCTGCAGTGCCCTCATGGGAATATGTGGCTGAGTATTGTCTTGAAACAGAATTGGATCTCGCCGATTAACTAATACCGGACACAGTTTGCTCAACTCAATGTTTTTTTCATTTATTTCCTGGCAGTAAAATTTAGCAGTGATGTAATTGTTAGATTACAGTGAGCTGTAATGGATAACGCCAATGGTGGACCAGCAGACAGTCGCCATAATCTTCTGTTGGTGCAATTTTGGTTTTGGAAAGTGTTTAGTTGCTCCGTCATGATCACGCCATTGAACCGCCTACGATTATCATAAAGGATCCATTTCTCATCACAAATCGATATTCGATCAAGAAAATGATCATTTGCATTTCTCAGATGCAAACTCTTTGTGAGTTCATCCCAGAAACCATTTATCGAGCTACTTCTCCTTTCCAATTTTCTTGATATAATCCGATATCGTTGAAATGCTGATACCATTATCTGAGGCACTTCGCAGACTCTTTGACGTGGGCCTTTTTCGACTAGTGTTTTCAGATGTTGATTGTCAAACCCAGATGGACGTCCTCTGTTACATTAATCTTCAAGATTCCCACTGTGGAACTTCAGAAACCAGCGCCGATCACAAGTGGATCCTTTATCCCATGTTCTGTTAATGTCGGCAACAGTCCGAGAAGCTTGAAGATGAAGGGGATAAATGTTTTAAGTTAGATTCTGAAAGAGATTGATATTAAATTAACAAAGACGACACCTTAATCATTAGCAATGAGTAATATATTTTGATGCAACTAATATGTTATTATGGTATTATGGTCCAAAAAGTTTTTATACTAAAATCAGAGTATATTTTCCGAACAAACTAATATTATTGTATTATATCATTATATGCGATTATATACTTTATATATATTATCTATTATTATATATTGTTATTATAAGTTCCTTAAGACATAATATTGATTACAGGCTTATAAAACATTGCGTATTAATCATAGATTTATAAATGTCAGGTATTATTAATTTTCACCATCCCGTAATGACTTAAGGAATGGTTACTTTTTCTTCTCTCTTTGAATTCCTTGAATACCGTCGAAGAAATTAGTGAAAGGAAAACAAAACGTGATAGTCCGTATCACAAAATGTTTAATATCTAAAAAAAATCACTAAACTAATTGAGTTTCATTTTTCCAGGTTTTAAAATAGGACGTTTAGCGATCTTGACACCGTTTGCCTAAGAATCACTGAAAAAGTGATGTGGTGTCTTCCATCCAATAAATTTGTTGTGGACTCTTCCACTTACTATAAAGTAGTAGGAAAGTAAGCCTCGGAGGAACATTGCTCCAAACTGTTCAACTGGTGAACTCTCTGTCTTTGGCGGAGAGGAACCCGGACGAGGCTTTGCCGAAAGGCAAAGTTTCGTCCGAGGTGGTAGACAGGCCCGGACCCATTTATGCGGGTTCTACGGGGAGTTTACGGTCTCGAATGACCCACGTAAATAAAACGGCCTTGTGCCACATTTACCCTTGTTTGGCTACTAAATATAACAGTGATATAGACTGTTCTACCGAGGCTGGCACTCTTCGCAGCTCCTGTCGAACTCTCTGCCTTGGGCAGAATGGGACCCGGACAAGGCTTTGCCGAAAGGCAAAGTTTCATCCGAGGAAGTAGACAGACCCGGACCCGTTTATGCCGGTTCTACGGGGGATTTTTTTGGCTGAGTCTACGGGCTTGGATGACCCACATTAAACTCGGCCTTGTGCCACTTATATTTCTCGGGGGGGGGGATTTTAATTATTAACAGTGATACAGACTGAATGCTGGTCAACCGACACACACTCCCAAATCGTCTAACACACTTCTGTTGTATTTACTGTTCAATACACTATTTATCTGCAACTTCTTGTTTTGTTATTTTTTAACCAGTACTTGGTCACAACAAAAAAACAAAAAACAAACTTCAAGTTATTCAGCTAGAAAGAGAATCATTTTGAGTCAGACCCACTATATTTTCCCAACTAAGCAATGATGAGAGGAAAAATACCATTCATGCTTTCAATAATGGCATGATGATTCTTACTCTGGCTTCCATCTGTGAAGTCCATTCAAGAATACGGTGAATAAGTTTAAAAAAGAGGGAACAATAGAGAGGAAAACTGGATCAGGAGATCACAACAGCAAGAGGGATCATGATTTCAACTTAGAGTAAAATACATTCTTATTGTTCAAAGTATAGTCTAAGAATGTTATAAAAACATTTCAGAATTCCAGTAAGATATATTTAATCATTTCTAAGTTATTCAAAACTTAATTTATCAATTGGACAGTTTTTCTGTTACACGATTTGTGCAATTTTGCTGTTACACACGGTATATATATATATATATATATATATATATATATATATATATGAGGAAATGTTTGATACCACAGAATTTGACTAGTATATAGCTTTAAATATAAAAACGCGTTCTTTAATGGATGCTTTTTCGACCTACACTTCAGAAGAAGAATACGCTGGTACCTTATTAAATAAACAAAATGAAACAAATTCGCACAGTGAAACCCAGGAGGATTAAATGAAGAACGACTAAAATTGAAATTTATTACTAAAACGATGAAAAAAAGAAATATGTCTATAAACTAAAATATATAGCTTCCTAGGGAATATAAAATAGAAAATCTTTTACTCACAATCCTGCGGACAGAAACAAAGAACGAACAAAGTTCTCTTTCTATCTAAGCAGAGACAGTCTATGTAATTTTATATACACCGCTTCTAAGATTCGCAAGTGTTTGGCTGACCGGGCACTGCATAAAGGGGTAAATGCTGTATCCGTGTACTTGACAGCACACCCAAATTTGTCTCATTTTGTTTATTTAAGAAGGTACCAACAATGTCTTCTGAAGAAGTGTTGATCGAAAAAGTATCCTTTCAAGAATGCATTTTTGTATATTTAAGGCAATATATATATATATATATATATATGTGTGTGTGTGTGTGTGTGTGTGTGTGTGTGTGTGTGTGTGTGTGTGAGGCACAAATGGAGTGGGAATTCTCATATTTTCAAGAAAAAGTTCAAGAGTCAAGTGTAGGTGGGTGCCTTAAGAAAGAAGTTAGCTTGTGGAATTGGAACTAATTAATTTAATGTAAGACTGTTCAGATGGAGTGATATTTGAATATATTGGGTTTTATCTTGAGGACCATCCAAACGAGAGACTTGCTGAAGCAATTAAGGCTCCAGTCTTTTACAAGTGCGGTTGAAGTCCTGATAAATATTAACATAGGAGAAAACCCTTTTGGAATTAACCAACATACATTAGGTTCGATCCACATAAATCACACGGACTCAAGCTAGCGAGAGATGGTCAGAATGACCGCATAAAACATGTGTATGCTTTATGCATATAGAGCAGCACCAACAACCTATGTTGAGGCATACAAACTAGTCTGTCCTAGGATGTATGATAACAGAAGAGAACTGAGTTGCATGAGCAGGTGGCATAGAATCGAGTGGTTGGTTGACAGAGAGAACTGGGTTGAAGTACTTCCTGACATTTATGAAATAATATGATGAACATACACCTCCTTCAAAGCGAGAAGGTATCCGAAAAGAAGAAAAAATCAAACTGACATAAATTTAGAAGTTAAAACAGGGCGAAGGTCATCTTGAATAAGTTGGAAAATGATCCTGGAAAATATATATATATATATATATATATATATATATATATATATATATATATATATATATATATATGAACTTTATATTATATTATATTATATATATAAACTTTATTTTAATCCTTCATGAGCTTCCAGTCCTTAGCTAAGATTAATTAATGCCGATCATTTTCGTTCATGATCAATTTCATCACGATTTTTCTGTTAAGCTTGAAGAGTAATTATACATTCTTATCGCTCAAAGTAAGATCCAATAGTGTAATAAAAACTTTGGTGAATTCCAGTAAGATATATTTAATCATTTCCAAGTTACAACGATTCAGAGCTTAATCTAACAATTAGACAATTTTTCTGTTAGACAATTTTGTTGTTACACCCGGTATGTTAACACTGACATGTTGGAGAATTTGATTCGTTTTCCACGGCTTATCAAAGGTTATTTAAAGCCAGAAATTATTTTTAAAATGTAATAATATTGTTTTGTAGATAATAATGGTGATACAAGTCTTACTAATGAATTCTACCCCTTCCCATCCCAAATGAATTTGGGGTAGGAGGGGGTAGAAGATTCATACAATTTCCTAAGTGTGTTTGTGGGTAAGGGAATGTAAAGAACCCAACGGAGATTGTAAATCTGCTCTCCGATTGACAATCCTGAGGCATTATCAATTACTCTACCCACACATCCAAGCTTACACCAGCTGATATCCCCAAGCGCTCACTCATCTAGGTACTGACCAGGATCGATGTTGCTTAACTGCAGTGATCATATGGGTACCGGTATTTCAACCTGAAGTGACTGTAAGCCATGAAAAAGAATTGATACTGCATTATAGTTCAACGATTTTTTTTCTTTATTTCTCACGAAATATTCCTGTTTCTTACTAATTCATTTAGATTTTGGAATATATATATATATACATATATATATATATTTATATATATATATAAAGTCATCCACAGACAGACTGTTTTGCTGTTTCACAGCTCTTCAGTGTGGCTAGACATCCGGTTGAATCTAGCTAGGATCGAAACCTGGCTGAATTGGTGTCAGTCGGAGATTCTACCACTAAGCCATCATCGCAAGGATGAAGGTGAATTTTAGCGTATTTTTTTTAGATAAACACACACGGTGACCGACAGTGACTCAATTCGCTTTTGCCGAAGAGTCTCGCTATATCAGCCATAATAGTCACTGTTTACAAACCAACACCTCTTCCCCAGAGATTATATATATATATATATATATATATATATATATATATATATATATATAGAGAGAGAGAGAGAGAGAGAGAGAGTGAGTTCACGAAAGACATTTGGGTCACTAACACGCAAAAAAGAGAATGTCTCATATCGAGAATATTTAACATCGGAAAACAAAAGAAAAAATTAATTTTTAATAATATGTGGAAATCTCCACGCTTTGCCTGATGACAGTCGGGAGACGGGAAACTCGTGTAGCAAAATTATGGAAAATAAAGCATAAAAAAAAATCCACATTAAAACCAAAAACGTTTGCGGTTTCTCTCTTCTTTTTAATATACATACATTTCTCTCGTTGGAACTACTATAAACTCTTCCTCTTATATATATATATGTATATATATATATATATATATATATATATATGTATATATATATATATATATTGATCAAGCATGGATAGAAGAGCCGAGCTTGAATTCCAGTCAAAATCCATTACATTCACTTACGTGCTAATACCCTTGGGAAAGGTATGAATTTTCTTCTTCTCCCCACTCCCCAGTTATGGGTAAATAGCAGAACAGACCGGATTCTATAGCCTTGGATAGCAACTGGTCTACTGCAGAAAGAAATGGCAACCTACTGCGGGAAAATCTCCCTCGACAGTCATGTATCGGAAGATACAGGATCACCTGAGCGTGTATCACGCATGGCAGATAAGTGAATGATGGATAAGAATCTGATAAAATGAAGGGATCAAGAACAAATAGGAAACAGATCTCAGTCTAACTTGTTTCATATATATATATATATATATATATATATATATATATATATATATATATTAAGCATTACACCCCGAGCAAGGCGTGAAGCCACTAGGATGCAGGGGGTTACAGAAAATTTGGAACAAGATCAGGTAGGAGTGATAGAAGAAAAGGATGAGGAGAGGGATAGTGGATAGATCAAGGCAACTGGAGATGTCGATTGACATTACATTTGAATAGTTGGAGATTATAGCTCTCAGGGAAACTGGAATAGGGAAGGGAGTTCCACAGGCGAGAGGTGCAAGGTATGAAGCTATTGGAGTAGAAGAGACAGCTACATTTAAAAGTTTCTACAGTGTAAGGGTGGGAGCGGGATGCCAGCCTCGTAGGGCGCTTGAATTCATGGAGTCTGGGAACCAGTGAAAGCTGCTCATCGGAGCAATTACCATGAAAGTATTTGTAGAAAAGACAGAGAGAGGCGATATATATATATATATATATATATATATATATATATATATATGGGGTCATCCACATTATTATTAATAATAATATTATTATTATTTTCTATACTGGAAAGCTCCGAATTTCATGGCCATGAGTTTCATGGGACTGTGTTCTGCATGAAAAACTCCCAGTCGTGCTACCGCTGAGGAAAATGATATATATTTGTTAATACATAGTTTATAGCAATGCATCTTTTTCGTCCTCTATCCTCGGTATGACGATAAACTACATCCAGCAGCAAGGCCTCTGATTAGGAGTGGGTGTCGATGAGCGTAGAACCACCTCTTAATTTTTGTTGTTCCCATGTCCATCCTGACCCGAGGTAGTATCACCTTTTAGTGTCCCAGCTATGGGAAAATAGTGAACCTCCCAAACTGGTATCAAAACATTATGGAAGTATAAAACACATTTTTATAATAAAAATCCCAGCAATAGATTTTAATAGGAAAAAAATACGCTCCCAAGAAAATTAAATTACGGTATTAAATGACCCACAAGGAGTTGATATGCCGTTAAACAGTAAACCAACCCACCAACCAAATCTTTCGTTGTCATTTTCCTTAAAACGTACTTATTGCTAACATATTCTGCCAATGGTATCCTCTGCGTCTTTCTACGGAACGCCGTCCAAGCTCTCTCTCTTGTCTCTTCTTCATCAGCTGGGAAATTGCCCAGTATTCATTGTCATATAGGAGGATTGATATTGCATAGTAAGTGACACACTTTGTTCTGACTTCTTTAAAATAATAAGCCTCTTCGTATTGAAACTTAAACCGGCCAGCCATGTTCCGTGAAACCAGCGCTTCTTTCTGCAACATTGCCAGTGGCGATCGATCTCGTTCTAATCATACTTCTTGATACAAGAGATTTATTTCGTAAGCCACAAACTACAGTTCAAGAGATCATTCACCGCCGGCTCAGATCGAACGCGTTACTGTGAGCACGTGACTTGGCAGAAGTCATTTTCCGAGTGTTAAAGCGTAATCTCCCAGATAAGCAGGTTAGAACTGATTAATTTACTGGAGTCGTGAGTTCTCTATGCTCCCGATTGACAATCTGAATAAGAAAGGAACCGATATTAGGTCGATAATAAAGCGCCATACTTGAGTACAGAGGTGTATTTTTATTTATTTATTTCTTTTTCCGAGTGATAGGTATTTTTTTTTTTTTGCGTCTCCCGCGGTTTGGAATGAGAAAACGGAGAGCCAAGTTCGAATTCTTGTCAGGTTCGTTACATTCGCTTACGCACAAAAACATCTGGGAAAGGTGTCAATCCATATCCACCCTCCATCTATGGGTTAAATAGGAGGACTTGTATCTGCGAAAAATCATTGTTATTCTAGAAAAAATATATAGATCAATGCATTATTCACTGACAAAAATGAATTATTTTTACAAGCCGAGATATATTTCGATTTTAAATAACCCGGAAAGTGTTGATAATCCGTAAAAAACAAGAAATCAATCAATATTTGCGTGTTCCTTCAGGATGTAAACATTCAGATCCCCCATTACTACCAATCCTTTCTAGTTCTGATTAACGTTTCTCTCCTTACTATCGTTTCCTGTCCATGTCATAAGGTCAAGTTACACTAAACCCTTTTCCCTCCCGTCCTGGGCATAAGGATAAACTACATCCGCAGCCTGGGTAAGAAGACAAACTACGTCCAACAGCAAGGCCAAGGATCAGTAGGTTTTGTGGATCGTGGAACCACCTCTTAATTGCTGGTTTTCTCAGATCCACCCTGACCCGGCGTTGTATCACCTGTTAGGGTCCCTGCTATGGTAAATAGTTAACCCCCAAAACTAGGGTCAAAACACTACGAAAGCGTAAAAATAGGTTTTAATACCAGAAATACTTTGTAAAAATTGTTACCAGCAATAAATTTTTTAATAAAAATTATGACCAGATATCAGTTAGTTATATGCCGTTCATGATACAAGCCTAGGCGATCATGGCAGATATTTTCCCGCAATAGATTGCCATTTCTTAGTGCGGTAGACCAGTTGTCATCCCAGGCTATAGAATCCGGTATGTCCTGCTATTTACCCATAGCTGGGGGTGGGAGAAAGAAGAGGATTCATACCTTTCCCAGGGATAATAGCAGTAAGTGAATGTAATGGATTCGACTGTTCTCCGATTCCTCAATTCGGGCTGCTAGCCATTACTCCATGGTGCCTCCTCATTAAAAGATATACATTTTTTGAAAAAAAATAAAAGAAAAGAAATATAAGTAATTACCAGCTATACATTTAAAAAAAATTACCAGAAATACAATTCTGAAAAAAAAAAAAAAATTACCAGCAATACATTTTAGAAAAAATTATTACCGGTAATAAAAATCTTTTCGGCATTAAATAACCTACTGAGGTTGATATGCTATAAAACAGGGGTAGACAACTCATTGGACCCCGCGGGCCGGATCGTGTTATAATGACGGATCGCGGGCCGGACGAAGGCTATTAATGAAAAATTAAGGAAAATTACATATGCAGACCCCTGTCAACCTAAATATTTAAAATCATAATGGAAATAAACATTGAGAAATCAGAAAAAACAAAAGAAAATCTCAAATTAAAAAACACCTAACAAAAATTAATTTTCCTCAAGGAAACGTCAAAATACTTCAAAGTGAAAAAAAATCAACCGAAGTGAAATGGATGAAATTATGACGTGTAGGTTTGAAACTGTTATTGAAAATTGTTCCACAAACAAACCACACACACACACACACACACACACACACACACACACATGCACACACATCAAACAAAAACAAAGCACATATACCCATACATACGAGTACAAATAGTTGCAAACATATACACTTACGGACGTACACATGCGGTATCATCCACACATTCATGAGGCATGTATGTATAATGCGCGTATGTTTAACTGTCTTCAGATTTCTACCTTGCATGTTAGTCCCTCCCTGGCCTCTTTCAGTTTATCGTTCCTTTCGCTTCTGTTATCTTTTAATGTAGCCAAGGGTCATAACAAATATGTATCCATTATTTGACATTAAACGTAGGCAACGCAACTTGGTAAAATATGTCTCATGAAAGATAACTGACAGATAGTCTAATATTTTTAGCGCACTGAGATAACAGCAGACCTTTTGTCGAATTCGAAAGCCTCGTCTCTCATGTTAAAAATAGAGTCATTGGTAATCAGGCTCGCGGGCCGGTCAAAATGCCTTCGCGGACCGTAGGTTGCCGACCCTTGCTGTAAAAAAACCAAACCAAACCTTTTTTCTTCATTCGGCATTCCAGAAATTGTAACCGGCTTCTGATGTTTATATCTTTTTTGCTTTGCTTG